CGCAGGAGAATTTATTTCCATTTTGTTTATCAGGCAGTGTAAGTGCTGGGTGGAGGCGAGAAGCCGTCTTCCTATTTTATTTTCTCTCTGAGCCACTGCAGCAGGGTGAAGAGGTGCTGCACAGAAGACAGGGGGCAAAAAGCCACCCCCAACAGGGGTGGAGACAGGTTAGGGACAGAAGTCCTGGGAGTAGCTAGTCACTCTGCCCTGAAGGTCTCTCTGGCTCTGGTTGAGTTCTCCACGTGTAGTTGCTTTGTGCCTCAGTTTACCCATTTGCAGAGTAAGGTTACAGTGCTGCTTCCATCCAGGCATGACCAGTGATCAGCTCAGGCTCAATGAGCCTCTGCCAGAAGCCATCAGTCTCCCATGGGAGATGTCCATGGCGTGGGGGGACTGTAGCCGTGGAAAGGGGGTTTAACCCTTTAAGTGCGGAGGAAATAAATGCACAGCTACATGGTCGCTTTTTATGACAGAAAGAAAGAGACAAGTTTATTTAGAAACACACTTGATTTTATAGCATGACTTTCAACTCTAAGAGCAGAGAAAAGGTGATTGGTTTAGAGAGAAGACACCCCATTCCCAGGGCCTGGTCACGTACCAAAACAGGTGTTCTATCTTTGTTATTAATTTGTTTTTATTTTGACTAAATTATTACCTTGGGAGAAATTCTCCCTAGCCTTGAGCTGGACCAGCTTATCGGCTGGGAACAGAGCTGAAAAGCTCCAGCCTGGAATATTTTTCAGGCTGTAATTTTCTTACTTTCTCAATATGTGTCCCACAGGGGACTGTCAAGATGGCCACGAGGGGTATTTACCCTTTTGCAGCCCTAGTTCAACACAGACACCCAAGGATTGCAGCTGAACATCTCCAGGCTCTGCCTCATCCCAGCTCTGCCTGTGGCAGCCACCCAAAGCCAGTATCAAGAGGATGCTCTGGCGATCATCCCCAGAGACAGTTCATACTCATGTCCCTTGTGAGCACCCCTCCCTGCAAGGCAGATGTTCTGCCAGGGGCAGGGAAAGGGCACGCAGCAGGCATGGATGGGTTTGAGGTGCTCCAGGGGTGCTCCACAGGCTGCCCAGCGCAGTGGCAGGGCCGGCGTGGCCGGTGGCTTTGCCAGGAGATGGCACTGTTCAACCCCTAATCACAGCCCTGGCCAAACCGGGACCCTGCCATGGAGGCAAGGATGCACCACAAGAAGCACGGCCAGCAGGTTGAGGGAGGTGATTCTGCCCCTCTACTCTGCTTTTGTGAGACCCTTCCTGAGTGCTGTGTCCAACTCTGGGGCTCTCAGCACAAGAAGAATGTGGATTTGTTGGAGCAGCTCCATGAAGATGCTCAGAGGGCTGGAGACAGGCTGAAAGAGCTGGGCATGAAGAAGAGTAGGCACAAGAAGAGAAGGCTCCAGGAACACCTTAAAGCACCTTCCAGAACCTAAAGGATCTAGAAGAGAGCGGGAGAATGACTTTTGACAAGGGCATGTAATGATAGAAAAAGGGTAAATGGCTTTAAACTGAAAGAAAATAAGTTTAGATCAAATATAAGAAAGAAATCCTTTTTTGTGAAGGTGGTGAGGAGCCAGTATAGGCTTCCCAGAGAAATTGTGGACTCCCCAACCCCAGAAATGTTCAAGACCAGGCCGGGTGAGGCCCTGAGTAACCTGGTGAAGTGGAAGGTGCCCCACCCATGGCAAGGGCATTGGAACTAAATGACCTCTAAGGTCCCTTCCAATCCAAACTATTCTATGATTCCATGTCCTCCTGCCCAGGCCCAGACAGGGGCAGGTCCCAGCACCTCCAAGGACAGGGAAGGACAGGGACAGCATGGTTTTGTTACTGGGGTGTATTTACTTGCCGGACTTGGTGAGTTTTCCCTGCAGACTGCAAAACCCTGTGCTAGGCAGCGGGTCAGAGGGTGCATCTCCAGCGTGTTTCAGGTCCAGGCAGGACAAGCCGCCCTTTCTTTGTACCCAGGCTCGCAGTGACCTCTGGTGCCCTGGGAGGTACCCACACCCTGCTCATCCCCGGCGGCCAGGAGGTGTCGGTGCTGTCTCTGGGCCAGTGGCCACGTCAACACTTCCCAGTCCAGCTCTCCCCGTCCCTGGCATCAGCCTGGCCTCTGGGCTCAGCTGATCAGGTGCTCTGGGTGCAGTCAGCTGGGCTGGCAGGAGCTGCTCAGCCCCCTCTACCCCCAGGAAGCAACCGTGACAAAGATCAGCCAACAAAGGAATTTGGTGCTGAGTGCTATTGGGGCACATCCTCTGAACCCACATGGACACCAGGTTAGGTCAAGTCCCTGGGACCCTCCAGGTGCCTGGAGCTGAAAACAAGATCTGCAGAGCCTCGAGTGCCCCCACGCTTGGGGCAGGGGCTGCAAGAAGCATCTGAGCAGCCAGCAGCAGAGGTGACCAAATGTTTTTAGAGCCAACAAATAACCTCAATTAAGCTCTGTGGCAGTGACCGATTCCAGCCATGCAGCAATATTGGCTTCTTTAATTTTTAAGTGACTGAAAATGGCAAGACTGGGAGCTGGGATGAGGAGACCCCAGCCCTCTCTGTGCCCCTGGAGCCACTCTGCTGCCCTTCACTTTGGAGGAAGTGGCTCAACTACTGGCTGAGCTCAAGCCTGCCAGTCAGACAGCCCTCTCCCACAGTGGGATCCGAGGAGTCTGGGAGACACAGCCATTGGTTTGCTTAATTTTGGCCAAGAGCTTTTGCTCAAGCTCCCCCCTCTCTGTCACCACATCCCCACTGCTCTTCCTGCCAGGCAGGAGCCAGCAGCATCCACCAGCTCCCTAAAGGGTACGAAGGTGTGAAGCAGAGGGGGGCAAGGACTGAGACCAAAATTGCCCAGGCAGGGCATTGTCCTGCAGAGCACATGGAGAGCCAGTGATGGAGTGTGGGACCCATCTGACACTCTCCAGCCAGACCGAAGCTGCATCCACACCCAGCACAATCTGGATTTGTGCCAACACAGGCAGGGAAAGCCTGGCCTTGAGGAGGGTTGGCATGGCAGCCCTGGCCAGGGGCCAGCCCTGGGCACCGGCAGGGAGCCCAGCAAGCAGCTCTTGACTGCTGAAACTCCGGGATGCTCTCGGATTTCCCCATGGCAGCCTCAGCCTGAGTGTGGCCCAGTTCCACCAGCTCATTTGTGTGCAAAACAGGAAGGGGATCAGGATGGATAAAAAAGGCCCAGCTTCTCTGGAAGCATGTTTTACACCCAAAAAGGAAGTAAAATACAAGTCAATGACACAATTCTGTCCCTGGTCCCTCCTGAACACCTGCTGACTCTGATCATGCCAGGAGGATTCTGTTACACTCTTAGATGGAAGGAGCATTGAGGCATCAATGGCTTTTACATTTCTCAGGCTGAGAAGGAGTTTTCTGTCAGAAAGGGTAGACACTGCAGCAGGCAGGGCAGCAGTGCCCCATCAAGCTGTGATGCAGGGGGCCAGGACTGGCCCAGCCTCACCGTCTGCAGGAATTTTGCTCTGCTGCCAATTCCAGACAAATCCCTTTTATTTGCTTGTTCAGGTTTCAGTGCCATAATTGTGTCATCTGAGCCAGCTCTCAAGAGAAAAAGGAAGAAAAGAAAAGAAAAAAACATGTGAAGGGGAGTAGCACGGGACCCGAGCCACCAGCCTTATTGCATCCTGCCTGCTCCTGGTCTGGCCAATTCCTTCCTCACGGGGTCTGGCTCCCTGCAGCAGCTCTGGACCTCCCTGGAGCTGGGACTGACTAAGTGGGAGTGGTTTGATCCATATGGAGGTTTTGAGCACCAGAAGTCCTGTAAATGCTGCTGCTTTGGGGGGAAAAGCACCCCTTGAATGTGAGCTCAGCCCCAGAATGCCCATAGGAAGGGTCCTGACAGCCCTCTCTGGGCAATGAGCAGCACAGTGCAGCTCTGACCTTCCTTCCTGTGCTCCCCCTACACGAAAGTTTGCTCCAAATCACAAGCTGTGGGAGGTAGGTGGGATTTTGTTTTTCATATATAACGTTTCCAGTGGAAACTAAACCATCCCTTTACTTCACGAACTAAGCACAGAGCTGCTCCACACTTGACAGGGCTGTGGTCGCCTGGGTTGAGACCCCAGTGTCACAGAACTTAGGACCCCAAGGTGAAAATGGGAAGCAGTGTGATGGGATTCAAATGTACAGTGATTTTAGTCAGTGCATCACCACTGCACAGGAGATTGTCTGCTGGGCACCCCCAATTCCAGGTGGGGTGGGAAGGGCAGGACCCACACCAGAACCAGCTGTGAGCACTGGGGTAAGCAGGAGAGATCCTCAACTCAATCACCCCACAATGGACAAGGTAGCATTCACAATGTTTGCACCCTTCCTCACCCCGTCTTTGTGAATGCAGGACAGTCAGCTGGCCTTGGCTTTGACCTACGTGTGTATTTTAAATAACATCAACAAAATTACAAAGGAAAGCATGAAGTCAGTTAAAGGCATGGAAGGGAAAACATGAAGTCAGTCAAACAAAGGTCAAAGTATTTCTGACCACAAGAATGGTTCATCTGGAGAAAAGACAGCACTGAAAACCACAAGTGCCTGGTTTCCTCAAATCACTACTTTTCTGGTTAAAAGCAAAACAGAAGAGAAGGGTGTTTTGGCAGCAGGTTCCTCAGGTTCTGGGTAGAAGCTGGGATGTCTCTGTGTTTGGGGATACAGAGCAGACATGGGGGTGACACACTGGTTATCACAGTGAGGTCCTAGCTCTCTGCTCCAGCTTCCCCAAAAATTATTCATACAGGACATAATGCCCCTGCCCTGGCCTCACTCTCCCGAAGCGGGCTGCCTCCCTCCCCAGCACCAAGTCCTCATCACAGACAGCACAGCTGTCCTCGCAGTGTCCTACCTGCCATTGTGTGTCCACTCAGTGCCAGAGGACAGATCCACCCTGCTCCAGGCAGAGCTGCCCCTGGTCCCAGCCCTGGCACCAACCAGCCAGTATCCCATCCCCCAGCACCCCAAAAGGAAGTGTCACCCTGTCCCCCACCCCAAAAAACAGGCTTCTGTGCCAGGATTATTCAGAGGAGTTTTGGGCTTGAGGGTGCTTGCTCCAGAGATGTCCCCGAGCCCCAGGGAAAGGCTGCTATGGGCAAGGTGATCTCTGCAGCTGGACAGGCCATCTCTGGGCTAGTAGTAGTCCTCATCACTCTCCCCGTAGTCCTCAGGTTTCATGCGGGGCTTCAGCAGAGAGAAGTCTGTCAGGTTGAGTTGGTCTGAAATGGCAGCATGGGGACAATGTGACATGGCCACCCTGCTGTGCCTGTTCCCTTCCCCAGCAGGACGAAAGCCAAACCATGCACAGCAGCTTTCTGGGGCATCCCCAGCACATCCCTATGCTCCAGCATCTCCTGCCATACCGGTGCACTGTGCCCAAACATCCCCTCCCGTGTCCCCACGAGAGCATGGGGATTAGGACACGGTGCTCACCTGGTGTGAAGACAGTCAGGCTGGCCAAGGCCACCACCTCCCCAACCCTGTTCCTGGCGAAGCAGCGGTACGTGCCCTCATCCGTCACCCGCACACCCTGGATCTGCAGCCAGCCTGTCACTTCATATTTCTGGGGGCCACCTCTGAACTGCAAGAAGAGGGGATTTCTGTCAGCACTTGTGGCAGAAGGAAGGGGCAGTCTGTGCCACAGAGTCCCGGGTCCCCTGTTTCAGCAGGCAGCGAGGTCCCAGGATTGCTCTGGCAGCAACCATGCTATTTTCTGTTTATCCCCAGGAATAAATAAGTTTTCCTGATCCAGCTGGGCTGCAGATGTGTTTGCAGGCTACTATTATGGTGTGGTGGCCAGGGGTGGAGGATACTAGAGTTTCCTCCAGCCAGGCAGGGTAGTCCTGCTTGGGGTGAAGATCCTCAGTCAGACCCTGCAATAAGCTACAGGGAGGCTTGAAGGACAGAAAGATGGAAGGGGGCCATGGTGCCAGGTTCCACCTGCTCCTCTGGCTCCCTCCATCAATTCCACCACAGTTTCTTCCCCATTGGTGCCTGGCTGAGGTGCATGACCCCTTTGCCTCTGCCCACACCCTCTAATAGCTAGGTACACCCAGCTGGGTGCTATATTTGGGGCTGGCCACAGGCAGAATGCTGACCACTGGGCCTGCCAGTTCTGGGAGGGAAGTTCTACTGATGGGAAAAAAGGGCAGGAACTGCCTGAGTGTGCTGGTAGGACCAGAAGATAGCCCAGGCTGCAGGGCACTCAGGAGGTCTTCTTTCTAACCTTGCCAGTGGGACTGCAAGTGAACCCAGCACACACAGCAAACTAAAAGCAGACAAGTGGGAAACTCCCTGCCACAGGACTCTATGAATAAGTTCAAAAATTACTAGAGGACATCACAGAAGAGAGCTATGCTGATGGCTCCTACCATGAGAAACCAGCCCTGACTCAATCAGTCCTTATGCTATACAGCCACTAGTCACCCCTTCTCATTCCCAGACAGCCAGGCTTGGCCATTCCCAGAGTATGACCACTCTCGGGTCTGCCCATGAGCTCTGAGAAGCACTGGGTCACCCTGGGGTCATCTTCAATGCCCTGGGCACACTGCTCACCTGGACAGAGATGTGGGGGTCATCTCCAGGCAGCAGCATCTCTGTGCCATCCTTCCTCCACTCAATGGATGCCATGGGGTAGGCGAAGACCTCGCAGCCGAAGATGACATCCTGCCCAGTGATGTTCCATGTGTCATAGGGAGGAGAGGTGATCTGAGGTTCTGGGGAGGGGGGTAGAGGAGAGCAGGGTGGGCTCAGAAGAGATCCCACCCTTGGCAGGTGGCCAAGGTCTGGTCTCTGGAGTGGCAGCATTTCATTCACATAGAGATGCTGGGACCCTTCCCATGTCTATCTCCTCTCCCTCCCAAGGCAGACCCTCACCTTTCCCAAGGACATGGTCCCTCCTCACAGCTGGGACTGGAGCTCCCTCCCCAGCCCCCCAGTCCATGGAGGGTTGCCATCCCTGCTGGCCTCAGTTTCCCCGCCTGTGCAATGGTGCTCAAGTGACACGCAGCAGGAAGAGTGCAATGACAGCAGTGTTACAAAACAAAGCTCTCCTGAGTAATCAGAGCATGCTCCTCCTGTAGGAGAAAGGCCAAGGGGCGCTCATCCAGCCTGAGGCTGGTGAGGATGAATGAGGTAGTTGAGCTTTCAGCCAAATGAGGCCTCTGCTCTGACACAGGGCTCATGCCAGCAATGAAGGGAGTCAGCAGGTCCTTATTTCCTGATTGGAGCCAATAGCTCCAGGTTCCACATCCCCTCCCTGGAGGGATAGAGTGAGGACCACCCTTCTTAACCACACCTGCTCCATGATCTGGCCCATAGCAGAGTTCAAGGGAAGATTTCAACCTCTAAATATACCTGGGAAAACACTCAAGAACATGATGATCTGCAGAAAATACGGTCAACCTTGACACCTCTCAGGCTGTGGTGACAGCACTGGGTGACCTGTGCCAGACTGGGCAGGAAGGGGAATGGCCTTCCTGCTAGACTGTCCCCTCTCAGCCCCTACTTAAGTTTTAAATGGGAGATGGAAATCACACGGCCAAGCCAAATCAACCCTGGTTTCTATTTGCAGGAGGCAGGCACATGTCTCAGGAGCAAGAGGCCAGTGTGAATCCAGCCCTGCCGCCAAGAATTTGCTAACAATTCCCTGGAACTTCCCCATCTGCTCCAGCAGGATTTTTTGCTTCCCATAAACTCCACTCCCTCTTGGCAAAGCTGCTCCCAGATTTCTCCAAGCACTGGATCTGCAAGGGGCTCCCCCAGAGCAGCAGGGTGGGGGGACTAGTGGGAGCATGGAGCCCCCAGTGCAGTCCCATCCCTGTGGTTTTGCTGCCAGGTGAAACAGTTAAGCCAGACCCCCTTTCTTGTCTCTTCCCACAGCCCCAGGGCCACTACCTGACTCGCAGGGACCTTCGTGGGCCACAGTGAGGTTGGCATCAGGGTGGGCATGGGCAGCCTCCAGGAACCTGCAGATCTGGGCGTAGGTTTTGCCATCAGAGCCGCAGAGGGCCAGGTGGGAGAGGCAGGCGCACTGGGGCTCGGGCACCTCTCCGTGACGCAAATCCCCGGCATCCAACCGGCACTCCAGGTGCTCCCCACACTTGCCGTAGAAATGGTTGGTGTTGTCCAGGTCACAGATCTGTCCCTCCAGGTTGGCACATTCCCAGCAACAGTCACAGGCATCCCGCACTGTGCCAGCCAGGCACCCGCGTGGCATCGGGCACTCCTCTGGCTGGCACTCCGTGCAGCCCTCCCCTTCCTCCAGCAGCCGCTGCCAGCCCCGCTGGAGGTAGTCAGAGGTGCTGGGAAAAGCCTGGCCCAGCTGGAGCAAAGCCCAGTGCAAGGAAAGCAAGGAAAGCACAAGGCAAGAGATGCTGAAGGGCTTGGCTTCAGACATCCTCATGGCAGCTCCTCTATCCCAATCCCGCTGTCACTTGGATGGGGATTTCTGGCACTGCTCTGGTCTCCCTGTCTAGATCTGAGGAGCCATCCTGGCCTGTGAGGAGGGAGAAAGTGTTACTGGTGCAGGAAGTGTCTCCCACTCCGTCCCTTGGCTGGCTTGCTCTGAGCAGCCGCACTGCTAGATGTGCAGGGGAGGTTTGGTCCAACCCCTCTCACCCCCAGCCCTGCAGTTACAGCCTTTGCACCCTGGAGCTCCCCAACCAGCTCCTGCCCTGAGACGCTGAACATCTTCTGGAGAGATAGTGCTGTTGACCCCAGCCCATCAAGTTTCATCCTTGATCTCTTGGCAGCCCAGCATGCAAAGTCCAGTCTTTTCTGACCCTAGCATAGCTTGGGAAGCCATAAGGGCGGCAGAGCACTGGACGGGCTCTTCTACACCATGGTTCAGCTCATACCCTGCTTCTGGTCTCCTGTCAAAAAGTTGCTCTCAAGCCCCTTTCCTTTCCCCATTGCTTTGCAAGAGTCACAAACCCTTTTCTTTCCTCCCTCACCATCCACAGAAGCATAGAAGTGGCTGATCCTGCAGACAAGGGGCTCTTTCTGTGCTGAAGGCAGCTAAGCCAGGAAGATGCTCCCAGTCATGCCTGGCTTTTGTTCTCCTTCCCTCCCTGTGCTATAACCCCTCTTTTTAAGCATCACCTACTCGATCAGGGGAAAAAATGTCCACTCCCCAGAAGACTTTGTGACCTCCTCAGTTATCACACAGGCAACTGAGGCTGAGCATGGAGAAGCTCAGTGCACAGGTGAGCAACCACTGGACTGACAGCAGACCCAGTGTGGTCAGCCTGTACCAGCACAGTGGGGTCCCCGCCCTTAAACCCCAAGCCTGCATTACCCACTTCGGGTAAGAAGAAGCTGATCTACTCTGGACTTCCCATCTCTCCCAGGGGCCAAAACGTGGTATCTCAGAGCCTGACAGAGAGGGTGACAATGAACCAAATCCCTTTGCTAACATCCCTCCCTGCCCCCTGTTATATCCTGGCAGCTTTCTCTGAGATGGAGTGAAATTATGGTCCTCCGCCCCAAGGCGAGAGGGGCTGGGGAGGGGACCTAGGCAGACAAACTGTCCCCTCCCCTCCCACTGGGAACAGCGCCGAAGGGCAAGCTGCAGTACCCCCAGCTACGGCCCCCACCCTCGGTGCTAACACAGCCCAGAGCTGGGGTGAGGATGGCCCGGACAGTGGGTTACACATATGCATCCCTCGGATAACAAACCGTGAAGATTTGACCCTTTTACCAGAGGCCACCACGCACCCCAGGGGTGGAAAGGGCAGAGGGTCCCAGTGCCGGAGCCCCCCTCCCGCCCACCCTACCCCAGGTTGTACGGAGTAAGGCTCCATCCCCCGATGGATGTGGGGGGCCAGAGAAAGGGTGCAGGGAGTTGCAAAGTTGGTGTCTGGCTCCTCACATCTGGGGTGCAGGAAGAGTGCACGATGTCCCTTGGGGTCCCCCAGGAGCCACCCCGCCATAAGCCGCCACTTACCGGAGCCACCGGAGCCGCCGGTGCCGGAGGCCGGGGGTGCGCAGTGGCCGTGGCGGCGGGGCTGCTGGCCCCCAGGGCTGCTGGCCCCTGGCCGCTCCAGCACCGCCGTGATGTCAGCGAAACGTGAATCCCCCCGCCCCTCTCCGGGCCCGCAGCCCGTCCCTGGACCGGGACACGGGCTGGCTGGCACCCCTTCCCTGCCGGGGTCCCGCCACGCACCGCACTCCAGCCACGGGCTCTGCCGCTCCGGCTCCCTGGCACCAGCACCTCCCCGCTGGAATCACCTCCCTGTGTGCCGGACCTGGGCTAATGCTCCGCCCCATTCATGGGGCAGGAAGGGACTGGGGTCCCCTCCTTTGCAATCCAACTTGGCAGTAGTCCTCGGGGACAAGTGAGTGGGAGAGGTGGGCATGGTTAAGGAAGTGGTCAAAAGTATTTCTCAACCTGTAATTTGGTTGGGAAACATAGACTGAAAAGTTCAGCAGCTACTGTAAGTAAATGGGAGGATAACTCCCAGAGGATGTCTGCACTCACCCCACACCAGGAGCCACGTTTGAAGGGGATATTGGGGTGTAAACCACAGCGTTCCCTTGGCTGGAGTGCAGCTATTGGGAGCAGTGGTGGGGCAGCAGTGCAAAACCCATGTGCAGGGGGCTGAGGCTCCAGATCTCCCCTGCAAGCTGCCTTGCTACTCCCTGCCTCAGTTTCCCTCTGGAATTGGCTCTGAGGAGTGGGGAGCCAGCATGCCTTTACAGCACAAACACACCGTGAATTTGCATCTTGCTCCACATGCAGTTCCAGGGGATCACACAGCCCGCTCCTCTCCAGGCAAGGAATTTGTGGGATTTAGTTCCCCTATGAAGCTCAAGCAAATCAGGACCCCTCTAAGGATCTGGTTTCCTTCACCATGCTGCAAAAATCTGCTTTTGCTTTCCAACACCGTCCTGCAAATTCGTTCCGGGTTCCGGGGCTTTTGCTTGGTCACGTTGTGAATCCAGCCATGTCTAACGACGGAAAATGCAGGAGGCTTCAGCCCCCTTAAATCTGTCTCTGCCGGCCAAACTCCCCTCTCCAGCCCCCTGCTGCAGAGTGGGGTTTCCTGCCAGCTCTGCCTTCAGCTTCACATCCCACTCCCCCTCTGTGGCCCCCAGCCCCTTGCCTCAGGGCTGCCTTCCCCCCTGGCTCCCCTTGTCCAGCCTATTGAGTTCAGTCCCCACATGCCACAAGTTTTCAAGTCCAGCATCCACTAGCTGCTGAGCAGCTGGGGCTGCAGCTGTTTTGGGAGCAGGGAAAAGTCAGGAAGGGCTGAGGTTTTCCTACACACAGCCCCAGAGCTGGGTCAGAGCCTGAGCAAAGACGAGACGGATTGTAGATGGCCCAGAAAGGAGCGCTGAGCCTCCTAGGCTATCCCTGCTGTACCACCCTTCCCGCTTTGGGATGAAGGACTGCCTGCATATTCAGGCATTCCTGCACCAAACACACCCTCACTTGTCCCTGCGCCACACGGGGAGCAAAGCAGTGAAGCAAGTCAATGCCACCTCCTGCTCACAAAGCTCCTGGCCAACACAGAAGAGAGCCAGCACTTAAATCCCAGGCACTGCTAAAAACTGACCATCAGTGTTTCAGATTGTGTCTCTTGCCCTTGCCAAAGGGGAACAGGCCCCATTGCTCCTGTCCTTTCCCATACGTGATTTCTTCTCCCATGTGCCATTGCCCGAACATTTGGTGTGTATTGTCTTCACGAGATTATCATGACCTCTGGGTGGCTGAATTCACCCGAGCACCACTGCAGCATCAGCCACTAACATGGGAGAACCCCTGGCCAAAGCTGAAATCCAAACACAGATCTGAGCAGGAGCAACTCCTGTTCTGGAGCAACACAACCCAGCCTCAGAAAGCTAAGGGCAGCTTAGCTCAGCTCAACAAGATGGAGCTCAAACATGGCAGCTAATTAAACCTCCTGCTTAATGAGGCTGTTGAATGTGTTAATAAACAGTAGCAGCTATGAATAAGGGGTGGAAGATCTAACCTGTGCTTAACAAGGAGTTCTGCTCAATCACACCTGAAATCAATCAACACAGCTGCTGCTGCAAATGGGGTTTATGGCTTATATTGCTTGACAACTCTGTGGGCAAAAGAGTGATCACAGCCCTGAATGGCCTGGCACTTGGGTAAATTGCATTCCTGGCTCCCTACCAGTGCTATTTCTCCTTTTTCCTCACTTTTCCTGAGCCCAGTGAAGCTCCTGCAACTGGGCTTTGAAGGCTCAGCCTAAAGCACCAAAGCCTCCTCCTCCCTTCCTGGGGGATTGCTCCTCATCACTGTTTTTTCATCTTGTGATGGTCCCATAGAAGCCAGGAGTCCATGGGTGCTCCTGGCAGGCCCACATCCTTGTCATCCCTCTAGAGCTCTGCCATCAGAATGAAACACATCACATCCAGTCAGGGTTAGCACACTGGTCCTGGTCCTCCTCATCCCCCAGACACCCCATAGTAATCTGGGGTTTATGGTAGACGAGGCCAGGGGAAAAATATACTCTGGAAAAAAAGGCCTGGGCCAAGTGACTCAATGTACGTCATGTCAGGCAGGGCTGGCGAGCAGCGTTGGGGCTGGGCTGGTGGGGTTGAGAATGTGGGTTATGTCACAGCAGAAGCAAATGTCACCAGAGATCCTGGAACAGAATGCTGCCAGCACACTGCCTAGGACTGTGAGAGTTTCATTTTGAGAATAAGTCCTATCTCTCTCATTTCACATCAAATACACTCTGTTTCCTGCTGTCCGACAGCCTGAAACAGCCCAGTTCTGGCCAGCCCGCACCAAGGCTGAGTGGTTCTTGAGGGGTGCTAGCCACATTCCAGGGTTCCACTGTGGGGACAAGGCATGGGCAGCAGGCAGGTCCCCCCGCCTGCGTGCCAGGTCGGACCGCTCTAGGAAGCAGCCAGGCTCAGGTTTCTCCAGGCTTTTCCAGACCAAATTCCTCTGAAGAACCAACCCGTCAGCAAATTCTTGGGGAAGCGGTTGCAGCTGTGTGCAGGGTCTGCCGGCCCCGAGGTGCGATGGCTGAATGGTAAAGGATGTCCCGGTGCTCAGTCTGCCCGGGGTTCCCGGCGAGAGTCCCGGCTCAGTTCCATCCCAGCAGCACTCATGCCGTTTCCTGAGGTTTTTCCACCAGCCCCATCCAAGCGCAAGTCTAATAACCCGGGGGCAGGAACCGAAAAGACGGCGGGGGCTGCATTCCCGGGATGTCCCCGCACTGGCACGATCGTGCCAACTTTAACACTGCGGTGAGAGCACGGTGAGGGTTCCGGCTGCCCGTGACCCACCCGGCTCCTCCCACACCCCGGCCCCGCAGCACACGGGAGTCCCTGCGGGTCCCCCCGGCACAGCGGTGCTGGTGGCGCTGCGGGCAGGCGGCTGCGGGGTCTCTGCTGCCACCTCCAGGGCACTGCTGGCCTCGTCCCCGGCCTCTTGAGGTGACACTGAACCTTTCAGAACCTGGAGTAACGCATGGACACCTCAGACCCACCACCC